CCCCCCCCCCCCCCCCCCCCAACTATACATGCTAGCTACGGCCCTGGATACAGACTTGCCGACTGGAACTTCTCCAGGTCCCCCGCTAATTATGTCCTTTCCAGTTGCACATCCTTAAAAAAGGCACTGAACCAAATGTTATACCTCATAGCAAAATGTATTATTAAGAGCAATGCATGAAGCTAAAAAAACTCAACGTTAACTATAATCTAAATAGTATAAGCTATTGAAAAAAAAATGCTGCGAAAGAAAGTGTGGCAAAAAAAAAAATCGTACATGGTGATGGTGATAAAAAAAATATCTTGCACAGAACGATCCCAGAAAAAAAATCCCCTGCCAGCAGTAAATCACCCCCACCCCCTCAAAAGTTAAATGGTCGGCCCCTTATATTACTACCTTAAAAAATAAGCAGAAACTCGAAGTTTCGAGCGAAGGCCCTTCGTCAAGAGTTAGTAGTTAGTAGAGTTAGTAAGGGCCTTCGCTCGAAACGTCGAGTTTCTGCTTATTTTTTAAGGTAGTGATATAACCACTCAGCACAGCATTTTCACATTGGTACTACCTACACTGGTACAGACAGTTTTTGTTAAATTTTAGGTCCATTTCCAGAACATTTTCCGAAAATATCATTGTTATAAAAGTTGAAAATTTTCAACTTCAAATTTTTTTCCCGACCGAAACTTCGTGTCGGCCAGTCACATTTTACAAAATGTTCTTTCTGCGGAAAATTTCCTGAGGGGAAATGGCTCTTAAATAACGGAGGTGGGAAAAGTAACCATTGTAACTGCTGTAGCGAACACCGCGGAAAAACGTCTGCGCATGCGTCAACCTTACCTGTAATAGTTTTGCGAACTTGATGAGAAGCTTTTCCGAACGTTTCCGAAGGCTCAAAATGGCGGTAAAAAGGAGTGACTTCATTGTGCGTCTTTACAGCCAGATTTCGAGCGCAAAAATAAACATGTCATTCTAAAAACTAGGAATAAATACAGCCAGAAGGTTCAAGAAATTGTATTGTACAAGAACATGAACTAAAGGTGATTGTTGACAAATTTATCGTCTGAAACATTTTGTTTATCAACTAAGCAACGACAATTTCCGAATTTGCGTTTGAGATACATTTCTTTAAAAAAAACTGTGTCGCCAAATATAAAAAATTTGCGTGTTCACAATAATTAAACTTTAGGATTTATTCTACAATTTGAGTGGGTTAAGAAGCTTAACTTTTCGAGAGTTTTCTTAACTTTTTAGTTTGAATTTTTGTTTTGAATAATAGTTTGCAAAAATTTTCGAAGTCGTGTCCGTTAAAATCAACATTTTTTTACATGAATTATATTTCATTCCATACTTTAAATGCCAGGACGCTTTCAATTAATGTCTAGTCTACCCATTTGCTATATTTTCTCGTTTGTCCTACTAATTTTTGACCAATTAATAAGCATGTTTTTGTTTTAGAAATTGATATTCAAATTCCCCGCCATATTTTCATAATTTGGTGCATGCGCAGACGTTTTTCCGCGGTGTTAGGAGACCTAGATTGCTGACTCTAATGTTTTCTATAACGCACGCGCGTGACACTCATGAGCATTCAAAATGGCGGCTCAACCGGGCAAAAATCATAGAGCGGTATAGGGAAAAACCATGTTTTTCGCATTTTGCGTTGTCCTACAGCTTCCGATCCCGTTCTATCACTTTATTTTGGCAAGAACTAACTGGTGTGAAGGTTTTGGATGAATAATTGTACAATTTAAGTTTAATAAAGACGAAATAATCGATCGCTAAATGTTGTCTGAAAATCATCACATAGTCGGTTGAGCAGTTTAAGACATTTTGTTACAGAAAATAAAGGTTTTGGTTCTTTGGGTGCTTTTTTTCTCGAGGATCTCGGTTGGGATATATAACAGGGAATAATATTGTGAAGTATTTTGAAGTTAAAACCTATTTTACTTGATTTATTTGGTCTGCTGGTGCGAAAATTCTGATGCTCTGTTTAGTGTGACTTTGACAACCTCCTTGCTGCTGCAGATGTCAAGGTATCTCAAGTCTATATGGCCTGGACAGTGAAAAGTGATGAATCAATCAGGTTTGTAGAGAGAACTAGTGACAGCGAAAGTTTTCAATGGAAACTAGTTTGAAGAAACTGACTAATTTGTCTGGTATGCATCAAAAACCTTCACAGTATCTAGTTCTCTCCAAGAAACCTGATTGATTCATCATTGATAATCAAAAATAGATGGGACGGCATCTTCGTTTAGATACTTCTTGGATAAGTTGGATTGGCCTTTTATCGATTGCTCTCCACAATCAGCACTCTCCCCTTCAGGCACTCTCCCCTTGAGACAGCTGACTTAAGCGTCAGCACTTTCCCCTTGACGAGTAAAATTGTCTGGCGTTAGACAGAGTAAAATAATAAAATAGGGCACAAAACGACTCAATGGGTTAACTAGACACATGGGCAGATAGGCCAGTTAACCCATTAAGTGCCACTGCTCTCCCCTTGATGAGTAAAATTGTCTGGCGTTAGACAGAGTAAAATAATAAAGTAGGGCGCATTGCAACTCGATGGGTTAATATAATCATCGGGTGTGAAGTGTTTCTCACACAAGACAGGGTTCGTACGGGTCCTGGAAAACCTGGAAAGTCATGGAATTTCAACATTCCAAAATTCAGGCCTGGAAATCCTGGAAAATCAATTCTAGTCATGGAAAGTCATGGGAAATTGAAATTTTACATGACATTAACAAATTATTTTACTTATTTCAATTTACCAGTCATAATAATATGAATTGCGGTTTTCAATTTACCAGTCATAACAATAATATGAATTGCTGTTATATAACAGATTTTTGCAAGAGCGAAGTGAATTTTGTTCTTTTACTATATCTGTTATCGTTAAAATATTAACGAATTTCAGAAATTCCAGACTTGCAGGTCATGGATTTTGAAAAAAATAGTCATGGAAAGTCATGGAATTTTAAATCGGAGAAGGTGTACGAACCCTGACAAGACTGGATATTTGATTGGCATCCAGTCTGCCCATTTCATTTTTTAGCAGGCTGGGATTGGTTATAGGAAATCCAATAGTGCAAAGGGAAAGATGTATTTTTGGATCACTGATGTGAACAAAAGTAAAACATTTTTAACCTTGAACAGGACAAGGACCTCTAGAATAAAAACAATTTGTTTTGTAAATACTGTAATGACAACGTCACAACAAATGTAGTTTTGAGTTTGCTAGCTACAATATAAAACTATTTACAGTTTTAATAAAAGAATATTAGACCAAACAACTTGTTTTGATGTCTGTGTAAATCTGTGTTTGGAGTCTCTCTCTCTATATATATGCATGTTGACAACAACTGTCATATTAATATTAAACTATTCTGTTTATATGATGTAAGTTATAGACTTATAGTGTACAAATATATGATGTGTGTGTTTTATAGACTTACTTATGGAAGGAAAAGCGAATACCATCTTTTAAATCCCCACGTCTGCCTTGCACTAATACGATGAACACGATTCAGGCCGACATTCAAGCATTCTTTTCGATAAAACCCCCCAGATATTTTAATAGAATAGAAAGCCCTAGAATTTTCAGATGAAAATACTGTATTTTGGTCGAAATAACAATGAAAGAACAAAATAAACAGTAGTAGCTTTTGGAATAGTTAGATATATATCACATTACTTCAGACACTCCAAGGTGGATGTGTTCAAATGAGTGAGATTGAGCGACGGCACCTAGTGGGGTAGAGCACTCCCCCCACGCAAGCGCCCCCCGCAGATATTTGCATCTCTGTAGCAGCATTTCTTGCATTTTGAATGCATGTGTGACTCATTTTAACCTCAATTTCAACAGTGTATTTTGCTATTTTAATATCAACCAAATATTAATTAAACGTACTAGTGAACTATTTAAGTATCACTTGTTTACTTGTTTTTTGACATATGTGACTTGTTGAACTGCCAAGCAACTTTCTTGGAGTTCTTTACTACTTCATCTGTTGGCTTGTACTCAAAACATGGGGCAGTGGAATTCATTTTTATGGTCATGATAGCACTAAGGGTTCTGTTTATGTCCAGGTTTCCTCTGAAGCATGTTTTGTTCTTTCTGACAAGACTAAATGCTCTTTCCTCCTCTGCATTGCTATGGGGCAGTACTAACACCAACTGAGCTACTTTACTAAGATGCTGGAATCTTGGATAACCACTAACTTTCAAATTCCCTAAATAACCCCATATAACATCCATACGAAGGCTGTCAATTTCGTCATCTTCATCAAGTCGTAAAGTGGCAGCCTCTTTAACTTGCTTAGGTAGGTCAGTGTCATTCATCATCTGATAATCAATAAACTCATCATACAGGATTTCATGTTGTCTTGCATTAAAGTTGAAGATATGTTGATACCTAAAATGAGATATATTTGTTTAGCCAAAGTTTACACCTTGTACATGTCAGTTTCACCAAACTTTCATAGCTCTCAACTCCGTGAACGTTCTGCTGGCACCATATATTACTGTACATCAATGTACCTTAACATTATTCGATATTTGACTTATTGGTAATTGAAGTAGAGACTTACCTTTGCGCAAAATATGCGACTTGTTCAAAACTGCCAGAGACTCTCTTCTCCCAGTTGACAAATTGTGCATTCTTCAATGTTTCATCACCTAATGGAAGATTTTTCAACATATACTTGGCTGCTGCAATATAAAATTGGCGTACAGCAGTGTAGAACTTTTTAGCTTGTTGGTCAGAAATGTCACCATCTGCAAGACACTTGTTAAGTTGCATTCTTGTTGTAATGCCGACAAAAAGATCTTTATCACTTCTCTGGTTTTCTAAGACACACATTAAATCACCTGTGGTATCCTTTAAGCATGCTTCCAATTTGTCAACCTTAAGCAACTTGCCGAGGATCTTTTTATAAATACTCCAACAGCCTTCATAGACCAGGAAAATACATGGATCCGACCTCTGCAACGGTTGGTTAAAACACGTAAAACTGGGTAGCACAGCTTGGTAGAAATACAAGTAAATTTCTGTCATTGGGTCTTGGAATAACTTTTTCAATCTCTTGAATCTTGCTTGCTGCTCTGTATTGGACAAAAAGTAGGATTTGAGAGGGCTGTACTGCTTTCAAAACACGCTCCACTGCAGATTCCAAGCTAAGCCATCTTGTGCTTACATGTTTAATGACCTGTCTGTACTGAACATCACAAAAGTCACATAAGTCTGATAGAAGGTTCTTTCTCTTAGAAGAGTGTTCAAACCAGTAGAAAATGTCACCACACAAATCATCAGCAGAGAAGTTCACTATCTCTTCAAATGCCTTACCCCCATAAAAAGCTGTGTTGTGTAAAATATGACAAGGGCAACCCATGAAATACACTGTATCATTAGCATCCTCTACCCTTGTTTTTATGGAGTTGTGCCTTCCAACGTTCACAGATGTATTGTCTACAGACATTCCAACACAGTAATCCCAAGGTATATCATGTTTATTTAGAACTTCATTCATCTTGTCATAAATGGCTTGAGCAGTGGATGCAGTTGCTGAACACATATCCAGAAATCGACCTTCTACTTTGTGAGTGTTAATGTCAAATAAACGTACAGTAAGTGGATTCATCTTCTCCAACTCATTGTCACTGGATCCATCAATTGCCAAAGAAAATGGCCCATTCTTCATCTGTGATACCAGTTCTTGCTGCATTGGTGGAGCTATGGCATCATTAATTATACAATTTGTCTTTGTGTGAGCTGAAGCATAGTTCTTTGCAATAGTACTATCAGGAAACATCTGCCTGAATAGTGGACCCAAGTGGTCAGACACACTGATGGGTAAGTTATGTTCTACAATAAACTTAGCTGCCAAAACTTCTGCCTTTGATGTATTAAACAGCAAAGTGTTTGTGCTACTGGTAGCTAAATTTAATATAGGTTGATTTCTTAAGCTGCTCTCCCACCTTTTATGGTCTTCCCCGTCCTTGTGCCTAATTACATCATTGCAAACATTACAATAAAAGGCATGTATATTACCGTGGACTTGACGAAGAAATGTTTTATATTTGACGGTCCATTCGTTCTGAAAAGTCGATTTATATCTTGCAGCTCCAGTAAACTTTCGACAAGAAGACTTAGAAGTCGTTGGGAAACTCGTTTGAACTTCGTTTTCATCATTCGTTTCACTTTCTGCTTCGGTTTCACTTTCTGTACTGTATGTTGTCATATTCAACATTCGCTGAAATGCGTGAGATTCGCTTCAACACGCGTGAGATAAGTTTAGAATGCGTGAGTCTCACGCGAGATGCGTGAGACTTGGAGTGTCTGTTACTTGAGAAAAAACTCGTAAAAGACTGAAGGAATAAACAGGAAGAAACTAAAGACGAAAAGCGCGCGAAACTGCAGGCCTGCCCAATCTTGCCCGCTTGAATTGTAATTTGTAAATTGTATTGATTGTAACAAATATTCATCCAAAACCTTCACACCAGTTAGTTCTTGCCGAAATAAAGTGATAGAACGGGATCGGAAGCTCTAGGACGACGCAAAATGCAAAAAACATGGTTTTCCCCTATGTTGTTCTATGATTTTTGCCCGGTTGAGCCGCCATCTTGGATTTTCAAAATATGTCACGCCGGTTGAGCCGAGTCAGCAATCTAGGTCTCCTATATCTATGACTATTACAGGTAAGGTTGACGCATGCGCAGACGTTTTTCCGCGGTGTTGGTACGAACACTTTTCATATATACGCACGCGCAGAAACACATCTCCGCGTTCATTGGCGTTTTAGGCATGCGCATAAACGGAATTTTCTCCCACAATTGAAATGTTCAAGATTAGGGAATAAAAGCTGGCAAATGATTGTTCGAATGTGTACGGGACGGTGTTGTCAGATACTGTCCATAGTTGTGCCGATGATTTTCGATGAGGTACAGCTCTCCAATCAGAGGTAATGAGGTACGCTTTTGTCTTCTAAATTTCCCTCGTCAAGCATGCAGGGGGAAATTAGAAGACAAAGAAATCCTTTGTTTTCAACTAAATTTCCCGGATTTCCCGGGGAAATTTAGAAGACAAAAGCGTATGCATGGGTAATGAGGGAAATACGTGATTAAACGTCCCTGTTGAAACAAAAGAAACCGAGTTAACTGATATTATACTAATTAGGATGAACAATTATATAAAGAATACTAATGAAGATGAGTTTTATCAGATATAAAGTCACGCCACGTGACACATCATGGCTGACATGATTTGCCACAAGGTTTATGAATTATTAATATTTTAACTAAATGTAGTCGTTTCTTTTATGATCGTTTCGTTGAGGGCCACCTTTTCGAGTCACCCGTCCTCATACACTGATACTCACGTAAAAATCTCACAACTTGTCAAGAAGATGTGCTCGCTATAGAGTACAGGCTTGTAGCAAGCTTGTAAACAAGTTGTAACAATGCTGTTATTTTATCAAGTTGCTATACCAGCTTGTCCCTCACAACTAGTTAACAAATTGTTGAATTGCAGGACGATAGGTTGTTGGAACAACTTGTCAACAAGTTGGGAACAAGCAGTGCGAACACATCCTGTTGTTGAGAACAGCATTAGTAACTATATAAGGTAAGTGAATTTCATTTAACCACGTTTCAACGTTCAGAGGAACGAATTGATAAATACCTATGTGTAATAACCGCAAAAGAGAAAGGCCCGTCGAAGTAATTTTGAAAGAGAAATTTACGTTCAAAAGACATCGAATATGATGTAAACCAGCTGAGAACCGGGACCTGGAACTGCAATCATGAAAATAATATACGTATAGACTTCTTATAAAAAAGCGTGTCCTTTTAGCATTGTTGAAGGCCAGTTGTTAAAGATTTTAATATTCACTCCCAAAATAGTCCTCCCGGCTTTCCCCCATACAATGTTGATCGTAACATAAAAGTTTGGATGGGACTTCATGCACACATAAACATTGTATAATCGGGGGAAAAAGTCTACAAATTAATGCCCAGCATCGTAGAATGTTACTTTGTAAAAATATTGAGATGTAATTCAATCTTATATTTTTCATTCCACTGCTATTACCAGGGGACGCCGGAACGACGAGAGGGCAAAGGGGGCACTTTTGAATTTATATATATATATATATTAAAGGACGTTTACGAAACATCTGGAGTTTAACGCTGCCATAATCACGTTTCAGATTTGTAAAGAAATAGGGAGGTCTGCGGTTCTCCCCCAGAGGATTTTGATATATTTTTGAAGCTCAATGACTGCATTTCTGGCCAAAAGAATTCAGCCCAAAATGCCCAAAATGACTGTTGTCGTACGCGAAATTTGAGCTAAAAAGAGGCTCGTTTAAATCAAGTTCTTTCAAGTAATTTTACTTTTTATATATTATCGCTTTACAGTTATTTTAACTTCGCCCTCCTTCTCGGCCAAACTTTTTTCAGAGGTCTTTGCGAAAAATATGAGGTGACACGCACTTTAACAGCAAATTGGAACAACACTGGAATCATATAAACTTAATTTCCATACATTTCTTACAGCCGTTTTCCAGCAAAAGTTTGTTATATATAGTTTATATAGTTCTATAATAACAAGAACGAATTCTTTGTATAAATAACAAATATTTTCCTTTAATCAAAAGGCCACCTTCGCCCCCCTTGCCCCTCCTGGTAAAGGGCAAGAGGGGCAGCTGCCCCTCCCTGCCCCCCAGTTCCGGCGTCCCTGGCTATTACTTGTCTACAAATGAGTAAATGGCAAATTTATAGGCTGTAGGTTTCTTAAAAGGCTGTGTTCCAGTCACACGTTTTTAAACGCGCGAAAAATTTTAAATCTTTTTAAATTAACACTAGTGTATGAATTACCTGTACAAATGCACATTAAATCATTCACAAAATTATATGCTTTCATTTTATTCAGTTATTTTATAGTAACATTTAAAGATATTTCAACTTTTCCGTGCGTATACGCATGTCTAGGAACAACACGTGACTGGAAAGCAGCCTTTAATCCATTAGGTTCAACTATTATAAAACGCAACTCATTTAATTAAGATTTTCATTGCGGCAGTAATCCTTTATCACTTTTGCCACTGAAGCAAACTTGAAATCTTCAATTCATTTTTCTTCATAAAGACAGCGTATCAAAAAGATGGCCTTCAGTTGGGCAGTGGCAACCACACCCTGTTGCACACACGTCCTTCGATTCAAACCATTTCAAAATATGCAATGTATGCCCACCATGACCACAGGTTAAACAGAAATTAAACGCACCTATAATGTCAGATAATAATTAGTTGAATTAAGTTGCCTTTCAATAGCGGAAGAAGTTATTTCACTGACCTCAAGAATGACATTTCGTTAAAACTTTTTTCTTCAAGATTAGTTTAGAAACAAATTTGGAGTAGGGTTAGGTTAGAGTTGGTGTTTGGAATAGAGTTAGTGTTAGTAAAACCGTTGCTTTGTTACGTTTTGTCACTCTGAGGCCAGCGAAATAACCTCTTCCTTCAATAGCATGCTCAATATAAAAAGTTAAACGTTCAATGTTAGAATCAAATGAAGCCAAATGGCTAATGTATGATAAAAGGATTTTATTACAATTAAGTCTATAGGTTTCGTTGTACTACAATACCGTGATGTAAAGTTGGGAAAAAATAAAAGCTTGTAAAAAACGAACTCACTGAGCTCATGTATAAGAAGAAGAAAATGTTGTTAGGCAGCTGTAGATATTGTCTGGTAATTGTGAAATTAAAACGGAATCGAATCATTTCAGTCCATTTAATCGCTGTTGTCCACAATCAATGCTATAAGGTTCAGGGGATTTCAGCCATACGTCTTTAATTTCAAAAACACATGTAGTCGCAGCACAGTCCGTTTAGCGCGCATGTCATTTCCAGGAGATTTCAGCCATGCGCCTTTAATTTCAAAGAGACAGTACAGTCCGTTCAGTGCGCATTAACTTGGGTTCTATGTTCTTGCAAAGCCTCTGCTTTTTAGCCAAAAATGTTAACAAAACTATAGAGCTTTTAAAAAAATAAAATTTATCAAACAGCAGGAAGGAATGACCAAAGGCAACGGAACAAAGGAATTTTTCTATAGTTCTACATGTAAAATTAGCTTGGCATTCGTCGAACTTAATTGATTGTTGTCTCGACAAATAGCCGAGAAATAAACTTGAAAAAGATACAGTATAAATACCAGAAACATAGAAAAAGGGCAACAAAAACTGAACATAAGTCATTCAGAAAGTATGCTTCTGATAAAAACTGCTAGAAACAGGCAGAAGATAAAATGACAATAATTTCAAAAATTAAAATTGAGCTAATTTTTTCCGGCTTTATAGCATCAAAATTCCGTATTGTTTTTGCCTCTTCGCCTGCTTATAAAAATTCAAGTGATAGTAAAAGCATGCGCGTGACACATTGAGTACATGTTAGGAGAATTTCAACGTTGATCTTTTGAAATAAAATGGTTTACTATCTAATATCTTCTACTTCTTTTATAAAAGAAATAGTAAAACTCGTCTCGTGCGTTTATTGGGCAATAATACAGGGACCAAAAGTTGCATTTTTCGCTTCTGTTCCTCGTTAGGTCTAATGAATGTATATAAATTACCACTCGACAATTTCCATCTGCCATAGTCAATAACCGAGAAATGTATAATAACCTATTTGAATACTCATATGAAATAAAGTTTTCATTATTACTATTACATGCCTCGTCTCAACTTGCCGCACACAGAAATATTGCGAAGTTGTCATGGAAACAGTTATGCAATTGCGATTTTTGCCACTACATATTTTAACAGGGTAAAGATCATGGCGCAATACTAGTAAAAAGGTGGACCTATTTCTGATTGTCATGCAATTTTTTTAAAACGGCTTAACCTTCTTAAGAACTTATAAATTACTTCAAGCGTGAAAGTTTCAGCAAATTTTTATTTCAGAAACATTTACTGAGGAATTGTTAAGAAAAAATTAATTTTGGAAAAAAATATATTCACAGAATTTTTCAGTTTAGTTTATAACCATCTTGGAATTGTCTACTTTTTTATACACCCTATATATTGTTTGGATACAAAATATGTAAACAAAGCTGACACGTGCATGTGAACTGATTAGTGCATGGTGTGAACGAACGCATCAGTGCATGTATGGTGTCCTACTGCATCGTTAGAGTCTTGCATGTTTTCGCATATTATTACACCAAAAGCGAATCAGAGGATAAAAATGAAGTATACCTTTCACAGCAATACGACATATGATACATTGGAAGGCAAAGCGTTTACAGTTTTTACAATGTGAGCCAGAATAATGACCATGACAAGATGGACACTTCAACAGAATATCTGCCGATAAAAAAGAACATATATGAATACAAGTATGAACAGGTAAATACGAATCATAAATCTATCTGTGGCCAGTGTAGGTGCATGCATGGTGCCAATAATAAAAACGTTTTGGATTGACAGGGATACATGCAACTACCTGAAAAATACAAGGAGAACTTCGATGTTTCGTTTCGTTTCAACCCCCGCTACTATAACTTCACGACGAAAGGAGTTCCCCTTTCATTTTTCAGGTAGTTGTAACCCTATCAATCCAAAACGTCAGAAATATATGATGTATAAAGTCATATAATTATACATATACATACATACATACAAAAATGTATTTAAACACACTGGCCTCAACAACTCATAGCTGATTTCCATGAGGGGCGTGATTTTAGAAAGAATATACTGTACAGATAAACATAACTAGATTATACAAAATACAAAAACAAAGAAAGAAGAATTATTATATAGGCAACAGGACAAGCCAATTTTAAGTGTTTACCTCATACGGTAAATTATTCCATACTACCGCTCCGTTATATTTGAAGCATCTTTTAAATCGGTATTCGGTTTAGGAAGAGACAAATCGGTTTCTCTATTTCTAAGATCATATATAGGTATTGTCACATTCATTATTCAATCGAAAGGATGTTCTTAGATCTGGTGCGGTGTGGTTATTCAGAATTTTATACATAAAAACAGATTTTAAATAATTTCGCCTTAGTTCTAAGTGTTTTCAACCCAGACTTTCGGGGTGGTAATAACAAACTATCAATACCTAGGTGTAGAACTAATAGATATGCAAACAGTTTCATAATTGCTGGAAGTAAAGCTTTTAACATTAGTAAAACTTAATATAATTAACCATGTAATTATTACTATAATAATTCTTAATCTGATTGTATTTTGTATTTTAATCCTTTTAATCTTGTAAACCGATGTAATTCAGTCCTTGACTGCTAAATCGGTCTTTTTAATAAATCTATCTAAATAATAAATCAACCGACCGAACATCGTATAAGTTGCACCAGAAATTACTCTTGCAGCCCGATTTTGAAATTTCTGTTCCAAAATTTCTGTTCCAAAATTTCTGCGCCAATTCCAGTTGTCCCAAAGAGGGCTGCAGTAATCAAAGTATGGCTGTGCAATAGCATTGTAGATCAATTTTAGTGTCGCAGACGATACAAAGGGCCTAATACGTCTTGTAGCCCCGATACCCGCACTGACTTTTGAGCATATTATGCATATCAATATGTTTTTCCCAGGTCAATCTTTCGTCAATGTTGACACCAAGGCAACAAATATAATTTTCAGTCCTGGGTATTGGAACGTTATTAACGAGAATAGGGCTACCAGATACCTTGTGTTTAATATTATACGCTGATCCAATGATTTTGTAGGATGAATTTGGAGCTTATTTCATAGTATCCATTTTCGAATATTTTCAAGATCAAGGTTTATTTTAATAACAATGTCATCGCAATCGTTAGAAGATAGATACATTTCCGTGTCATCTGTGTAAAGGGATGGAATTGAATATTTTAAGGAGTCATGCAAGCATATCGTTTATGTACAATAGGAATAATAAAGGACCCAAAATAAATCCCTGCGGTTCACCACATTTTATCTTTCTCGGGCTCGATAAATGACCGTTTACCAGGCATTGCTGCTCTGATTAGATAGATAAGACTTGAACCAATTTGGTGGAATTCCTGATATACCAAAATAGTTAAGCATCTTTTTTAATTAATAGTATTTCATGTTTTATGCAATCAAAGGCCATACGTACATCAAGAAACACGACACAATTTATTTTCCCATTATCCATATTCTCAAGTAAATCGTCGCCATTTGTATCAAAGAGGACAGTGTAGAGTGTTTAGGTCGAAATCCCGATTGAAACTTGGAGAAATTATCAGAAACAAAGCTATAAATTTGTCAAAAACCTTACTTACGATTGGCAGTATAGAAATCGGCCTATAATTTTCACATTATGTCTGTCGTCTGATTTATAAATTGGATTCACTCGAGCCCGTTTCCAGTCGTGAACATAGATCCCTGTTTCGAGTGATAAAGTAACTATATATAGGACAGTGACGGAGCTATGGTGTCTGCAGTCAGTTTGAGGACTTTTAAGGCTGGAATTTTATCCAAACTAGTAGATTTGTTAGTCTTGGTCACTAAAACAAAGGCTACATTAATTTGCTGAAACTGAAATTCTGTGTTTATTTGAGGGTTAGGAATGTAACAGTTCTTCATTTCCTCTTCAGGGAGGTCATGATTTGCCTCAGATGCCAACTTTGGGCTTATGTTAACGAAATATTTATTATAGGCCTCGGCAATAAGTTTCGAGTTGGTAATGTTACAATTATTAACAGATATTTCTGTAATACTGTTAGCTTTATTATTCTTTCCAGTAAGAGAGTTTAAAAGCGACCAGGTTTTTTTCAAATCGTTTAATTTAGCACACTCTCCAATCTCTCTATGATCGAAATCGGCTTTTGTTTTACGCATTCGTGTATTTATTTTATTCCGCATAAACTGATACTTTTCCCAGTGTATTGTAGAGTTAAATTTTATAGCCTTTTTTTATGATAATCTCTTTCCCTTAGTAAGTGCTTGATAGTGGGCGTAATCCAAGGAACTGGATTAGCTTTAGTTCTTCTATGTCGAAGAGGTGCATGCTTGTTTAGGATTTCGTGAAAAAATAGATGTCCCGAAAGTCCCGGACTTCTTTTACAGCAGGTCTAAATTTAGAAAATTTAAATTTGCGGACAGTATATACTAAACTTTGATCAGAGATGCCATTTGTAAGACACCTGATGTCAAAATATTTTCAGGGGTATTTAGTGTCAGAATAACGTCAATAAGTGAAGATGTAGTCTCAGTGACTCTCGTAGGTTCATTTATAACTTGTGTTAATTGATATAGGGAGCACAATGCTTGTAGCTTTCGAGTGCAGAAGTCCTGATGCACCTTACTAAATCACAGTTTAAGTCCCCAAGCAAAATTATTTCCTTATCTTTTATATCACATTTAAAAAGAAATAGTTCAAAGTCATTAAATATGTCAATATCAGAACTAGGTGGTCGATACCATGTACCTATCAAGAAGAGTTTACTATGCTTTCTATTAACTTCAATATATATAATTTCAAGGTCATCAGAGACTAAATCCTGTCTTTCAACATATGGAATATTGTTTTTTTTTTATATAAAGAACCACACCACCACCGCATCTATTACGATCTAACCGAACGATTGAATAATACAAAGTTTTATCATTATCTGCTTGAGGTTGTATGAAAATTGACCTTTCATGTGTATCAAGGAACGTTAGTATAAAAGGAGTTGCCCAGCTCAAAGCTAACCCCTAATCCAATGAGACCGAAATTTTCCTCCCTTTGGCTTTAACCTCAATTTTTATTGTACAGCTTTCTCGGGTCAGTATAGTGTGTTACCTTTCTCACAAATATATCTTGGTGGATTTGAGACAAACTTCAGCACTTCACTCCTTCTATTGCTCAATTGACACTTGTATAGAAGATCAGCATAACATAATTTATAATGGTCAAATAATTGTCGCTTTTCTTTTTCAATAAACCTTGAAACAACAAAACGTTCGTGTCATAATTTCAATATTTTAGTGACTCTATTTGTAAATATGTACATTTTCTAGTACATATAATATTTTCTTATCCACTTTGTAATTATTTCCGAAAAAGCCATATTAGGAGAATAAAATTTCAGGTTTTTAATTATCATCAGCAACGGGAATATGTAACAATGACCAATATTTTAATCAAGACAAAGCATCAACATATACAACATATAAGATAAGATAAGATAAGATAAGACGATGTTTAATAGCACAATTTCGCACATAAAGTGAAGTACAAAGTGCTTACATTAAAATACTATAATAATATAAGATTATTTACAATGGTTGTTAGGACAAAGTTAAAATCAAGTCTCACCAGTCACTGGTTACTATTAGCAATATTAATTGTATTTGGGAAAAAGCTATTTTTAAACCGATCAGTTCGACATTTATAAGTTGATAAATTATTTAATGATCTAATAAAATAATTATGCTCGTTCGATCTAGTCTGGGTCACGTGTTGTGTAAGCGGACCACCTCTGGTTATCTTCGTGAGTGTCTTCAAACATAGCTCTTCGCGTCTAGTCTCCAATTTGGTGATACCAGCCGACAGCAACGCATCTTCATAAGTTTGTTCAGGGTATACAATACGCAAGGCTCGCTTTTGGATTTTTTCAAGTTTGTCTGATAAATAGCATGAGATAGAGTTGTGCCAAACTTCACAAGAGTATTCAAGGATTGAGCGTATTAACGCAATATACACAGTGAGAAGGTCTGCAGGAGGAATACCACTTCGGCGCAACACCCGGAGGATATGCAATCGTTTGGATGCTTTCGAGACTATTTCATGGATATGTTCATCCCATTTCAGGTTGTTTTCGATCGTAAGTCCCAATACTTTATGTGTACGCACTGTCTCAATTGGGTGTCCATCGATTAACAGAGGCATTAATTGGGGGGTTTCTCCAAGGAAACTAACACGAAGCTCTTTGCATTTTTTGATATTAAGTTTCATCCAATTATCGGAAGACCACAACTGAACTGAATTAAGGGTTGATTGAGTGATAGAGGTGCAATTTCTGCTAAGACTCTCAGAGGTTGAAACGTCGTCTACGTATTTCCACATTCTAGTGTCGGGAGAAGTGATTCGCAGGTTATTGACCATTACTAGGAACAAGATTGGACCTAGTTTTGTCCCCTGAGGAACACCTGCATTCACTGGAAGCTAGTCAGAGGTTGCTCCGTCAAATTTAACACGCTGCCTTCGATTTGAGAGGAAGTTGACGATCCAAGGGATTAATGAGCATCTAGCACCCAAATTTATCAGTTTCTCAATTAATAGATTGTAACCTATGCGGTCGAAGGCTTTGGAGAAGTCCAGGAAACAAATACGCAGATGATTACCGAGTCCGTCAAGATGGGAAAGCTAAGTATGTAACATATCCAGAAGGCAAAAAGTGGTGGATGTCCCTTTCAGGCAACCGAATTGGCTGGGGTCGATTTTTTCTTTTACATCCTCAATCAGCCAAGATACTACGAAATCCTGTAAAACTTTAGACAAGCACGATGTTAGTGATATAGGCCTAGTGTCGGCTTCAGCAATCGGTTTACATGTTTTAGGGATTGGGACTATGTTCGATTCCTTCCAACTACTCGGCACAACTCCTGAAGCAAGGGATGTATTAAAAATAATGGTGATCGGCTCAGCTAGCACGTGAGCATACTCCTTTAAAATTCGAGGTGAAATATTGTCAGGTCCGGGGGCTTTGAAAGAATGGACAGTTTGGAGTTTCTTACAGACTTGGTAACATTCAACTGCAGGTACGCTTTCATTTGATGGTAAAAACGGTGGTAATAAGTTCACATCTAATGGCGGAATATCAGCGTTAACGGAAGTAAGTTAACGGAAGTTCGCCTCGGGTCGACATAGCTGTCGAGAGTTGACGACGAGAAAGACCTTGGCGTAATCTTCTCCAGTAAACTACAGTGGAACTTACATATCAACGAAATGGTATCGAAAGCGAATAGGCAGCTAGGCGTGCTTAAGAGGACTTGCTACTCACTCACAGACATCAACATCCGACGTACACTGTATCTTTCGCTGGTGAAGTCGAAGCTCAGCTATGCAACACAAGTTTGGTCGCCTACTCAAAACAGACAACTCAGTGAAAGAATTGAAAGAGTACAAAGAAGAGCCACGAAATGGATTCTAAGGACCGGGACTTGTGAAATGCCATACAAGCAACGGCTGTTGAAATTGGAACTCTTACCACTCTCTTACGATAGAGAGATGAAAGATCTCGTATTTTTCTTCAAGGCGTTGTACGGTTACGTCGATCTTAACATAACAATTGCGTCTCTTTTATTCAACATGGACGTACTCGACTTAGCCAAGATACTGGTGTAATGCTTCAAACTCCTATGTGTAGAACTGCTACGTTTCAATCATCTTATTTCAACCGTATTGTCAAACCGTGGAACAATGTATGTCAAGATGTCAATCCAGATACATTCTCTAGCCCTATCTCTTTCAAAAACTTTCTTAAACGCAGCTATTTAGAACTTCTACGCTCTGTATATGATGTTGACCTACCCTGTACTTGGTTCTCGGTGCGTGACTGTCCCTGTCACAGAAAACAGCGAAAATAAATGTGTGTTTAATAGACCATCTTTGGGGCTATTTTCCAGTGCAGTCGCTTTGCCCGCGCGAGCGGAAAGGACATTCATTTTTGTCCGCCTGAATGCTCGCGGACACGCCATGAAAGTAGAACAAATTTTTTCACATGATAAAATCGCGCGTGCGGGGCGACTGCGGTGGGAAATGGCCTTTAAGCGTCTGTGTGTAACCTGTCTGTGTGTGTAACCTGTCTGTGTGTGTAACCCGTCTCTATGTGTGCTTTGTCTGTGCATGAGCGAGCGTATATCTATACTATGTGTATATAAGTATATAACTGTACATATAATCATATAATTGGACGCCGGAAGGTGCCTTGCATAGGAACTTTTCAAAGAGTCCCGTTCGTACCTTGCCGTTTTGGATCTAGCTTTCAAATGTGTTATATATATATATATATACATTGATCCAAATAAATTTGTTAAATTAAAAAAAAATAAATTAAAAGTATAGAATTCGTTAAGGGCATTGGAAGCTTGTAAATTGTTTAGGATTTCACCATCGCGTTCTAAGGTGAAAGGCTTTGTTGTTTCGGGTTTGCCAGACATTTTGTTAATGATTTTCCACCACTTACGACTATCACTGTTTTTTATATGTTGAACTTTGTTTTTAAAATGAATGTAGCAAAATGAATGTTTTGTTCCATTGCTTGTGTTTAACGAAATTATTTGAAACAAGCAGTGTGTGTTTATTACTCATACAGCACCAGTCATGTTGATCCTTAAAGTGCCTATGAAACGAAATTTCACCTCAAAGGTTTATGGTTGCATTGTAAAGATCACTTAAAATGACTTAATAATTTATTTTATAGAATTTTGGTAACTTGCTCCCTTTTCAAGATATTCAACTTTGTTTCATATGCAAATATCACCCGTGTGACATCACATCGCATAATGAGTTTTCAGAAAAGTATAGTTTTCTTGACGAATACGTATCTAAAGAACTTAAAAATTGCCCTTGTATATGTATTAATTTCTGTAATCACTGAGCCTGAGGCGAATAATTGTTTTAGTATAAATTTTTAATGAATAAAACAAAATATCCGAATATCAGTTTAATTAAAATTTTTCGGCCGGTTTTACGGTTACTGTTTTAGTGTTGCAGTGTTTCTTGTACACGCACGCTTTCAAAATGGCTTCATGTGTGACTTTATTGCTTTATTACAAAGTTGTTTTTCTCGATGTCTGCTTAGAATATAAACAGAATGATGGGATGACTTTTTCACCTGAATTAGAATTAAAAAATAGTTTCTGTTTAGCATTATTTTGTTCAGGAAATTGGTAAAGTGGAATGTAAAACTATTGCTCGAATGCCTCGAAATAAAATTTTAATACACTTTTCACTTTACAAGTTTCGAAAACACAATACATAACAGCGGCAGAACACTATACAGCACAATGAAATTGAGATATCTATAGGATACAAAACAAAATGGTTTTAAAAGAATATCACGCCGGGCAAGGTTTTTCCCAAAAGTCGGGACAGTTTTTGCTATATTTGTTTTAAAAAAAATTTCGTCGATTTTGAAACCACATTTGCGCAATCATTCTTTTTGAAAAGCATTATTTACTAGTCAGGTGGTAAATAGTGCGTCAGATTTCCTAGTCAACTAGCCAATCAGAACGCGCGAAAGCTCATTTGATATGCAACATTTATACTAATACACAATAGTAAATATCTAATAATAATCACAACTGAAATAGTACCTGCAGTTATTTTCATGGTGCTTTCGTTCTTCTTCTGCTGGGAAGTTGATAATCGTGAAAGCAGGAGAACAATTTTCGCTGTAAAACGACGAGTGACTGCTTGACAAAGCCTCCTCAAAATTTGGGGGTTCTTCTTCAAGTAACCCAAAATTCTTAGATATGCGTTGCTTTATCAAAAAGAAGAAAAAAGTTAAACTTTACACTCCGACATTTTAAGCGATCAAATATATAGGAAACCTTGGGTAATCTACACCTCAAAATTGAGAGGTGTTTCTTTTTCCTGACATAAGCGGACGTGCAACATAACCCATAATTTTCTATGCATGCACAAAGGGCGGACAATGAACACATTTTTCGTTGTTTTCTCTGCACTATCAGAATGCTGTAGCTATGTGAACTATAAGAAGTACTGAGCTTTGGTAATTACAATTAAAAGGAAATTCGTCAATTGGGCGACGGCCAGGTAAAACACTGTCATTGCATGTGCCGTTTGACCCTACTATGGCCACAGAGCCTCGCTTTCGTAAAAGAGATCTTCGCTTTAGAGAGTCATATATAAGAACTGCAAGCTTCCCCACACAATACGTTTAACTGAAGGGAGACTGAGATTAGATGGGGCTAAATAATTTTCAGTCAGAGGTAGAATGTGGAGAACGTGTCGCAGCTAGCTCCAGACGCGTCACAGCCGAGGGGAAATGGATGGCAAAGGTATATGTCAATGCTGTGCTGAGTGGTTATATTACTACCTTAAAAAACAGGCAGAAACTCGACGTTTCGAGCGAAGGCCCTTCGTCAAGAGTTAGTACTGAGCTTTGGTATTACAATTAAAAGGAAATTCGTCAATTGGGCGACGGCCAGGTAAAACAGGCTACTAACTCTTGACGAAGGGCATTCGCTCGAAACGTCGAGTTTCTGCTTGTTTTTTAAGGTAGTAATATAACCACTCAGCACAGCATTTTCACATTGGTACTACTTACACTGGTACAGACAGTTTTAGTAGGTATATGTCAATGCCTACCTATAATCACCTAATCATGTTTCGCTCGCTACTCTGGTTTAAATAAATGATTACAAAGCCCAGTCGAATTGTAATCAGGACCCAACGTTTCGACACTCCAGTCTAGTGTCTTCATCAAGGGTGATCTAAAGCAATCGCGGCTTCTTAAGGACTGAAGGTCGGCGAAAATGGCCCTGCATGGGATCGGCTGGTCACATGACACCCAGAATTTCTGGGTGTTTTGATACGAAAATTTATGTGAAAAAAATCTTTGTTGTTTGTTTACGAATAATAAATGCGAGGTAATGATCTAATAATAGGACGTAAGTGAATCTTGACTAGCTTGACTATACTCTTTGTATTTTCTTAAGTTTAGCATATAATTTGAAGACAAAAAAGTTATTTGAATTTGAATAAATTAAACTGCGAAACAATTAATGCGTTTTTAAACAGAGCAATGAAATTATAAAATTGATCAGTCGATCCCAGGGCCATTTTCGCCGACCTTCAGCCGTGGAGGCAAAATGCCCTGGGGACGAGGTTGACAATGACCTTACTGATTCCTTCTAATTTGAATCAAATGTTCCGGTCAGATCGGTCCAAACGTTTGGTGTTCCATTGAACAAATTGATCCTTCTGATTTGCTTTGACTGTGTTAATGGCAAGAGGGTATTACAGTGTAAAAGACATATCTTCGTTAATTTACTTACATCTCGATATTCATTGTGTTTATTTTCATCAGGGCTAGATACTGATACGCTAGTGTCAAATGTTTCTGGGAGGGATTCATATTCAAGGAGACAGGATATCATTGCTAACATCTGAATGTCATGAATTTCAGTATAGTACTTCAACCTGAACAAAAAATATCACATACAATTTGTATAGCTGGGAGTGTGATTTCATACCCCAGAATGCACCCAACAGCAACGTTTTTTAGCATTCAGTATCAAAATAATCTTACAGCGACTGAAGAAGTTTTCTTCCAAACGGATGACTTGCCCAGGGAGTTTCCGATGCAGATGGTGAAGGTTTAAGTTCTGAATCCATTATCAACCCAAGAAGTGACCATGTTTCTACTAAATCTGCACGACCTGTCAGTACGGCTGCTTTTCTGTTCTTTTCACATAATTCCTTAGCATCATCACTGCTGAATATCCTAAAAGACAATTAATTTTTCACATCAATTACCGACAAAACAATGGATAAATCAATATCTGATCACCACGACCGAGTCACTTTAGCAACAAACATACAACTAGGGATCCAAGGATAGTGTAAAGTTTCATTGAAAAAGACACGGCAAGAACTGTATAGGGTCGCCGACAACCAAGAACAGTAAGAGCAGGTATAGGCTAAAGCAGGCACGTCACTCAAAAATGTGGATTAAAACAACGTGTTTACGAGATAAACAATTTCTTATCACTCCCTTCGTAACTCGTTTATTAAATGTGGCATTGCAAGGGCTCTTATTTGGGCATGACAATTTTCTGTTTTGTAAAGCTGATGACTTACACTACGAAATAAACAGTCAGCACAGGCATTTCATCTGATTATCTATTGTTTTTAATGCGTTAGTAGGTAACCCCATTCAATAACGGAAGTAATTCAAGCGAATGTATGACGTCAACAGGGGGTGTACGTCCAAGCGTTCGTACGTCCATGTGTTCGTACTTAGTGTGCGTCCAGGAGTTCGTACTTAGCGCGTGTACAATCTGTTACGTCATGCCTGTACCTTTTACGTAATTGGTTAAATGGGCCCAAACCAATTGAATAGGGCTAACGAATGTTTTCTTTCCCGACCAAGTATGCGTTCTTCAAGGTCGAATAATGTTGACGAAGTTTCGCCTATGGAATTTCGAAAGCTATGCAATTTGTTAGAGACAGTATTTGCACAAACTGTTTCTTGCGAGGTTTATGAGCTTTTCGAAGAGAGGTGCTGTGGTTAATCTTTAATCTTTAATAAAATTTCTTTTAACACGGTAGCCTATTCAGTATAATATATACAGTCTGTTTTTCAAAGGGCCGTGCTATATAGTATTAAACACACATTAACTATGGATATTTACAGTTAATTACAGCACATAATTATTACACACTCCATTAATTTCGGAAATGCATTATACATTATTCATGTGCAAGCTTAAGGGTTAAACGCCGTTTGAAATCGGGTAAAGATAAATCCTGAATGTTATTAGTTACTTCATCCGATAATTCGTTCCACCCTTGTGCTGCTCTATAAGAGAAACTTCTTTTAAGAAAGTTAGTTCTTGGTTTAGGCAAAGATAGTTTAACATTATTGCTTCTTAGAGAATAATTACTATTTTCGCATCTCGTGAAGAAATTCTGCACATAATCAGGTAGTCTGTTAGTTAAAGCTTTAAACGTCATAATGATTTCTCTTTTCTTTAAAATGTCTTCAATTGGCATCCAATTGAGACTTTCTAGTATTTGAGTGGAACGAACATCGTATGATTGTCCTGTGATAACCCGAGCTGCTCTTCTTTGTAACTTAGAGAGTTTGTTAAGAATGGTATTAGATCCATCATTCCATATTGTTGAGCAATATGTCAGGTGAGGAGATACTAGAGCATTATACATTTTGATTAGAATGTGTAAAGGAACAAAGGACTTGGCTCTTCTTAGTAATGCAATATTTTTTGAGATTTTTTTACATTGTGCGTCAATGTGTATACCCCACTTTAATTGATCGTCGATGATAAAACCAAGAGATTTTTTGTTGGTGACCCGTTTAATATTATTATCTCGTATGGCTAATGAAGTCTCTGGGTTGTCTTCAAATTTAGTAAGATGATGTCTAGAGCCAATTATCATAAATTCCGTTTTGCTATCGTTTAGCGTGAGTTTGTTACATCTAAGCCAAGTATGAACATTCTCAAGATCTCTTTTAAGTTTAGTCTCGATTTCATTGGCATCTAAGCCGGCACACGAAAGATTTGTGTCATCAGCAAACAAGTTGGCCTTGGTTGTTTCTGGACACTTAGGTAGATCGTTAATATACAAGAGGAATAGGATGGGGCCAAGGTTAGAAACTTGTGGTACCCCACACCTAATTTCTCTAGCATGTGATTTTTTCCCATTCATTAAACAAATCGATTTTCTATTTTGGATGTAAGATTCAAACCATGCGTAAGTAGTTCCTTTTATGCCGTATAGGTGAAGTTTCTTTAATCAGATTTCATGGTCGACAGTGTCAAAAGCTTTTTTCAAGTCCAAGAACAGGACTCCATTGATTAAGCCACTGTCCATGTTATATAACCACTCATTTGTCGAACCTAAGAGTGCCGTCTCAGTAGAGTGTTGTGAACGAAAACCGGACTGTTGCTCTACAAGAATGCTATTGTCGGCAATAAACGTTCTCAATTGATTGTACACTAGCCCTTCAAACAGCTTAGCAACCACAGAAATTACAGAGATTGGTCTATAATTTCCGCAATCAGTTTTATTCCCTTCTTTAAAGACTGGTGATACCTTGGCGATTTTCCACTCGTCCGGAAAAATTGCAGTCTGAAGAGATAGATTAAAGATGTTGGCTAATGGTTGCGCGATAACATCGCTTGTATCTTTTAATAGTTTTACACTTATGCCGTCCAGTCCTGGTGATTTCCTTGAATTAAGTTGGTTTAAGGCGTCAAAAGTCTCCTGGACTGAAATACATGAAAAATGAAACGAACTCTCCGTAGGAGTGACAAATGTCATAGGGTCAACATTAATATTTTGGACATTTTTCGACAGTTTACAACCGATGGATGAAAAATACTGATTAAAACAGTCCGCAATATTTGTGTCTGCAGTTATAACTTGGTCATCTACATTTAGCTGTGTTACATGGGTAGTTTTGGGCTTTTTGTTTAAAAGCTCATTAATAGCCTGCCAACTTCTTTGCTATTATTTGCATTAGATAACTTCGTTTTAAAGTATTCTTCCTTAGTATTTTTAATAAGCTTATTTAATTTATTCTTGCATCTTTTGTAGGCCTCGTTATAATTACTCGATGTTAAACGAACACTCTGTCTTTTAAGATAATCCCTATGGTGCATTAAACGCTTTATTTCTTTCGTCAGCCATGGTTTATGCTCACTCTTAACGCGACGCTGTCTAACTGGCGCGTGTTTTTCAGCAATAGTAAGAAAGTTGTTCTTAGATTCATTCCATAGCACATTTGGATCATTCGATGTGGGATCTAGATTAGTATAGTAGCTTAGCTCTTCTTTAAATTGGTGGGAGTTGTAATTTTTGAACTGTCGTGGCTCTTTAGGAATGCTAATTTTCCGACATATGTAAACAAGACTATGGTCACTAATCCCAAGGTCAACAACCCCGGCTTCTAAGGTTTTATCATCGTTGATATGTGTAAGAATTAAATCAATCAGAGACGAAGAATTATAAGTAGTTCTAGTAGGGGTTTGTATGTGTTGCTGCAGTTGGAAAATATCAATAATATCAATTAACTTAGAAGTAGCTTGGTTTTGAGTGTGCTCAATAAAATTACAATTAAGATCCCCGGTTATGATAATATCTTTGTCTTCATTATCAATCTGCTTCAAGAAGTTTTCGAACTTTTGGAATAATTCAATTTTTGCACTCGGTGGTCGATACCAAGTTGAAATAAGCACTGGTTTACTTTTAGGTTTTCTAACTTCAATACAAAGCAATTCGAGAGTATCTTGTAATAAATCTTCACGTACGATATATGGAATGATAGTCCTTATATATATAGCTACCCCTCCCCCATGTCTGTTTCGGTCAGATCTGACAATATCATAACCAGGTATCTGTACTTCACAGTCTAGGAAAGTACTGTCTAATCTAGTTTCATTTAAGGTCAATATATCGAAAGGTTCATCGCGCATATAAATAAGTAGTTCTTCATAGTGTTTAGGCAAGCTAGCGATGTTAAGTTGTGCTACTTTGAAAGATTTAAGTTTAGGAAGAGTAGGGTTTGGTTGCTTTACTGGCTTTATTGTATTGGTAACAGGTTGTGGAGGGGGCGGAGCATCGGTAGATGGTCAATTAGAATTTTTTAGATAGTTTGTAAAGTTCTGGGCTAATTTAGCTGTTCCTTGTTTAGAAAGATGGAGCCCATATGGGTTCATATGGTTGTAAACTAAATCGCTTTAGTCAGAGTGAGTGTCTTATGTTATCGTATGAGGAGAGATCGCAGATGTATGATTTGGAAGCCATAGAGCGAGTTAGCAAAAAAGACATGGTATGGAATAAGTTTGTTGAGGTGACCAAAGTTTTAGAGCTTCAGTGGGATGAATACGTGTTTGAATATTGGAATTAATTGAGGAGGGACCCCGTGTGTGTTAAATCAAAGATGAGTGTGGAGAAAAGTGAGATGCTGAGTATTCTAGACCAACTTTCTAACTGGAAAGAGGATTGTTGTGATGACCCACTTGAACCTGGGGCTATGGTCTTTTTTTCAGTGCCCCCTAGTTTTAAGTATACTGTGAAAGCGACAGGCGAGCAATTTAGAAGTCATGAAGAAGATCATTATAAGGCATATGTGGAATATTTGAGAAGTAAACTTTGAGATTCAGTGTAAATATGTTAATAATCGAGTTTCGTTTTTATTCTTTTTTGTAAAATTGGTGGTTCTTAAGGTGGCTCGATACAGTTTTCAAAAATTCAGGTGTTCAACACTTTGAAATGTTCAAACTATGCATTTTTAGAATATATTCAGCAGATATTGGGTTTTTTATATATTTCGATATCTCTACTTTCAAATTATATTAGTTTTAGTAACAGATAGTTCGTTGCTATGACGACATACGTGTACAAAATACACTCCAAAATGGCCTTTCGTCTCGTATAGTTGGAAAAGAAGCATGGTGACCCCCAATTTTTTTCTTGCATTATTGTACTTGGACGAAAAGCTAACAATTAGCAAAATATAAAAAAATTCTGTAATGCCATTTTTTTGGAAAATGCGAAAATATCATATTCTTCGGTAAATTTTTTTTGGCATTACAGAATTTTTTTATTTTTTGTATAATGAAAGTTTTTAGCGGTGCAATACAGCATGCAAAATTTGAACATAGGTCTCCAGACAAAATAAAGAGATATAGCGCATTGTTTTTCTAAAATGGAAAATTCTAATGACGTCAGCAATTGACATAAAACGCTATATAGAACACGCGAAATGACGTGAGATGGCGCGAGCAGCTGCTTACGTCAGGTCATTTTGGAAGTTCTGTCATTTTGTTAATCAGTTTCCGCGACCTGCGCGTAAAAATGGTCACCCGGTTTTGAGTTCGCGATTCTTGAGCAGGGTTTTCGTGATAACTATATCGAGCCACCTTAAAAGAACCGGTGTTTTTGTTTGTCTTTACTGTTGCAGCCACATCGCAAAGGCCTCGACTTTGACTTTTGCGCAGTGTTGATAAGCGTTGCTTTCCAGGTGGTTCCCGCATGTTTCTAACCAGATCAGTTGATCAAATAGTTTTTCAGCTTTGGGACAATTAAAGCATTCCAAATTTACGGCCGGAATACGGAGACTCGCCAGCAAATCCCTTTCGTAATGTCCGCCTTTGAAGGCAATTGTAGAGTTTGAATCTATCTGTATTTCACGGTAGAAATTCTCTACAAATGCCTGCAAGTCCGAAATTTGAAATGCTTTAGTGCCCCAAGGCACTCCAGACGGGAGTTTATGTATATTCTTCTGGACGAAGTTACACGTTCTCTTGTCTTTCTCGTTCAGCTCGTTCCAGTGTAAGCCAATATCAAAAAAAGAACGATGACGCTTCAGAGTCTCGGACCTTTATGACTCCCAACTCCTTACAGAAAAAATTTCTTTCCAATCTGAAATCCGTCGGCCATGTCAAGGATCCCAACGATATCTGCTTTACACTACATGTTGACTGATTGATTGTGATGTGAATTAGATTGTTTGAAACACTAATCTGCGTTCTTGCGTGCGATATAACTATCGCGTGTACAAAACGTTGATCCATGTATGTATGTATGTGTATGTAAAACTTTATTTCAATACGCTAACTTCGACAATTATTTACAACTGGTTTCCACGAAGGGCGTATACACACAAAGAGCTAAATGTTAATTATATATAGAACAAAATATGTAAGAATCCCACCCTAAAATTTTATCATCTTCCTCCCAAACCTCCACCCCCTAAACAAGTACCCACCCACCCTCACGCAAAACTAACCCCCCTCCCGCCCACAATCTATATTGTCCTCCCATCATTTGGTCCTGGAGAAATTAGCTTATCATCTGCTTAAATGCAATTTCGCCATTGTTTTAAATGACGTAATTGACTCAGCCGCCTTGACATCTTGCGGGAGACTTTTCCATAGAATTGCTCCACTGTATCCAAATGTTTTCTTTAGAAATTCCGTTTTCGGTTTTTTAACGAGAGATCAGTTTCGCTATTGCGTAAATCATAAATATTCTGCGATGCATTTCTCCGAGAAAAAAGATCTTTAAGGTTTGGCGCAGTGTGGTTCCCCAAGACTTTATACATCAATACTAGCTTGTTTTGTTCTCGTCTCCTAGCCAGGGTTTCCCAGCCTAATTTGTTTAGGACTTCAGACGATCTTACATCGTAGTCAGCTCCGGTAATCACCCTTGCTGCTCGATTTTGGAATTTTTGCAATTTGTCTTGAAGTCCCAAACCACAGTTATCCCACAGGGGAGAACAGTAATCAAAATGAGGCTGAATTAATGTTTTGTAGACATCATGTAAGGTTTTGTGTGGAACATAAGGTTTTATTCTTTTAATTGCTCCTATTCCAGCGCTAATCTTATGGCATACAGAATCAATATGTTTCTCCCAACTTAATTTTTCATCTAGATTTACACCTAGACATTGAAATGTATTGGTTTGTGGGACTGGGATTTTGTTAATCTCAACGGGTCTATTTCCTATTTTATTATTTAGATTATGCGTAGATCCAATAAACATGACTTTTGTTTTTTTCCTATGATATTTTAGTTTGTTTCCCATGTGTTAATTTATGCATGCAGTCAACCAACGCGGTAGCTTTGGCAATAATATTTGGCTCTTAAAATAAGTGCAATTTATATAGGGACACTTCTCAAAGTGTCCCGCAAGCAAGTCCCGGGCGTCCCGTAGAAACGTCCCTACGTCCCGTGCGTATGAGCACATGCTCATAACTGCTCATGAGCACATGCTCATCTGCTCATAAAACTGCAATACTGCTCAATAGCAAGACATTTCTGCACAGTCAGTGCTAACGGAATGAGCTGCCAATTTTGCGGAAAGCAATTTAATCGTGGTTACAATCTACGAAGACACGAAAAGGAATACTGTCCCCTAGGTGCACAAGAAAGAGACATGTCTCAAACGGACTTGGATAGCCAGGAAAGGGATTTTCAAGACGACGTTTCGACAACTTCAACTGAAGTGTCTGAAATTTCGACGATAACTGATAATGAGTCAGAAACTGAAGAGGAAATGGATCCTTGGATACCGTTGATAGAAGAAGCAAAGCAAAGAAGTAATATAGCATTTGAGGAAATGAAAGAAAGCCTTATCAACAGTGGTCTAGATGAACAATCTGCTAAGGACAAAGCTTACTCTAATATTCTGCCTAAACTCCAGAAGAAACTGGAAAATATTTATATGGAGCGTCTCTTGTGGATGAAACAACTAAAGAAAGATTCAGTTCATAAGAAGATTATGCACACAAAAGATGCACTTGTGGAAAACGATGATTTTGATCCAGAAGAAGCGTTAGAAGCAGCTGTTGATATGAGAAAGTTTCTTATAAAAAGGCTTTTAAAGGGTTACAAATTTGATGAGGAGAATGATGATTAGATTCGAGTATACGATTGAAGTCATGCATTCGAACAGTATATATTAGCATGTAAAAAACATACCAGTATAGACACAGCATGTAACGTCGAGTCATTCAATAAATTGCTTTTTAATTACTTGTCTTTTCTTGTCATCAAAATGGCAAAACATGCGAATACGAAAATGTATACATTTGTGTACATAAACTTTGCAGCGGCTTCCACGAAAAATGCACACCCAGTCTTCGGGCGTAAACGAGCCTTATGAGCAGATGAGCATGTGCTCATGAGCAGTTATGAGCATGCGCTCATGCACTTATGCAGGAAGAGCAGATGAGCATGTGCTCATGAGCAGTTATGAGCATGTGCTCATACGCTCATCGCACAAAATTGCACCCGACATGCGATGTAAAATGCGAACTCAATGCGAAGGCGCATGAGCAAAATGCGAAGTCAATGCGGGGGTGTTAATTGCTGCCTTCGGCCTTCAGTCACCTTGTGTGGTCTGTATACATGATAATTATTACAGGTGTCACTTTAAACTTTATCTGTACCCTTTTCAAGAACACCGCTACCTCGAAAAATGTCATTAAAAAAATACACCTTGCCAAATTTAATTGGAGATATACATGTATTCGACTTTTATCGGTTCATTGTCTCTTGTTTTACTGGTAGTGATATGACTTGTGCTTTACCATTTAATCGTTCTTTCCTTTTTTGTTTCCTTTGTTAACTGTAGTCAAAGGAAAACGTCATGCATGTATGTAAATGTAGCGATGATTTTAGATTGCAGCGATCTTGGATTAGACTACATTCCCGGTGGATACGTTCGTGTATTGGACATGAGGAGAAATAACATTTCTTCTGTTTCTGAAGGAACCCACTATATCCGAACTTAGACCTCATTGATCTTCGCATTTTGCTCATGCGTCTTCGCATTGAGTTCGCATTTTACATCGCATTAAGGCCTGTTTGAATCCAAACTATTACGTATAGATTCTGTTCAATTTTCAAAATCATGTCGGGTGCAATATTGTGCGATAAGCGTATGAGCACATGCTCATAACTGCTCATGAGCACATGCTCATCTGCTCTTCCTGCATAAGCGCATGAGCGCATGCTCATAACTGCTCATGAGCACATGCTCATCTGCTCATAAGGCTCGTTTAGGCCCAAAGACTGGGTGTGCATTTTTCGTGGAAGCCGCTGCAAAGTTTATGTACACAAATGTATACATTTTCGTATTCGCATGTTTTGCCATTTTGATGACAAGAAAAGACAAGTAATTAAAAAGCAATTTATTGAATGACTCGACGTTGCATGCTGTGTCTATACTGGTATGTTTTTTACATGTTAATATATACTGTTCGAATGCATGACTTCAATCGTATACTCGAATCTAATCATCATCATTCTCCTCATCAAATTTGTAACCCTTTAAAAGCCTTTTTATAAGAAACTTTCTCATATCAACAGCTGCTTCTAACGCTTCTTCTGGATCAAAATCATCGTTTTCCACAAGTGCATCTTTTGTGTGCATAATCTTCTTATGAACTGAATCTTTCTTTAGTTGTTTCATCCACAAGAGACGCTCCATATAAATATTTTCCAGTTCCTTCTGGAGTTTAGGCAGAATATTAGAGTAAGCTTTGTCCTTAGCAGATTGTTCATCTAGACCACTGTTGATAAGGCTTTCTTTCATTTCCTCAAATGCTATATTACTTCTTTGCTTTGCTTCTTCTATCAACGGTATCCAAGGATCCATTTCCTCTTCAGTTTCTGACTCATTATCAGTTATCGTCGAAATTTCAGACACTTCAGTTGAAGTTGTCGAAACGTCGTCTTGAAAATCCCTTTCCTGGCTATCCAAGTCCGTTTGAGACATGTCTCTTTCTTGTGCACCTAGGGGACAGTATTCCTTTTCGTGTCTTCGTAGATTGCAACCACGATTAAATTGCTTTCCGCAAAATTGGCAGCTCATTCCGTTAGCACTGACTGTGCAGAAATGTCTTGCTATTGAGCAGTATTGCAGTTTTATGAGCAGATGAGCATGTGCTCATGAGCAGTTATGAGCATGTGCTCATACGCACGGGACGCAGGGACGTTTCTACGGGACGCCCGGGACTTGCTTGAGGGACACTTTGAGAAGTGTCCCTATATAAATCGCACTGATTTTAAGAGCAAAATATTATTGCCAAAGCTACCGCGTTGGTTGACTGCATGCATAAATTAACACATGGATCAACGTTTTGTACACGCGATAGTTATATCGCACGCAAGAACGCAGATTAGTGTTTCAAACAATCTAATTCACATCACAATCAATCAGTCAACATGTAGTGTAAAGCAGACATCGTTGGGATCCTTGACAAGGCATATTTTAAGGAATTGACAGTGGTGGGCCAAAATTTACGGTAGGGCCCCCGCGTCCCGACCCCTGCCGGCTGCCGGTCCAGCTCTGAGTATTGAATATTTGTGTAGTAATCGTGTTAAAACGCTTCCTGAACTTATTGAGTATTACAGTGTCACATGCAACACATATTTATTATTTCTAGTTTCTACACTACAGAGGGGTACTCCGCTAACTTCGGTACTGGCGTACTGTGGGGTATCATGCCATCAAGGGCATGGGTGACAAACTCCAGTTCTGAGTTCGCCGCACCAACAGATACAATTGATCTGACTAAAAATGCAAAAAATACTGAAATGATTGTAAATGAAATGCAGTGTTGAAAGTGTTCTGGGCTTCCAGTTCCACTCTGGAACTCTCCACTAAAGTGACTACACAGAAGTAATTTACAAACATCCACTTGATTCCCTATAAAATTTTCTCATATACTCTCTATCCTTAAAAAGTTCTGTGTCAGGTTGGGAATTTCTTCTGCTTTTTCGTTTTAGAAATTCTGCTACTGCCTCCCTTGGGTCAAACAGAACAGTTCCTTTCCCATTCAGTGAAATTTGTAAAACATTGTTTATTGTTGTCTGTTTTAGACAAGCTCTGTCTTCTGTTTTTACTCTGTTGTAGTGAGAAACAACACGCTCAGTCGCCATACTGTGCGGTGTAACAGCGAGAAATGATGCAAGGAGTGTTTTTAGAAGACCTTGGCTGACTTGAATCAATTTCCTTAATTTCACTGTCAAAACTGTACCTTGATCACTAGATTCAATATTCTGGATATTCTCAATCTGTCCGAAAGACTTGCAAACATCAGAAGTAAATTCTCTCAGCTTTTCCTCACCAAAAAGATCACACACTAATTATCTGCTTGCATCAATTATTTCTTTGGGAGAACTGGCTTTGAGGATCCTTGTGATATTGGCTATTGTTCCATCCTCTTCCATTTGCAACCTGTCACCAAGAAAGTTGACTGCCGACATTATTACTTCAGATCTTATAGCAGAGTAGTGCGGTGATCTTCGACCTCGAGATTCATTGTCATCAATTTCATTTATGGAATATTTTTCCTCCATTCCACCAGCTATAGGACCTTGTTTCATTAAGTTCAGCTTTCGCAAGGCTGTTTCACGAGCAGTGATCATTTCCAGAAGTATTAGCCTGGGACGTTGAAAATTCTGTTGCAATTCTTTGAACACTTGGCAGACATCATACATCAAGGCGGTGAGCCAAACCTAAAGCAATGATGACCATTAGACAAGAAAATATGCAAGAGTGCTTTTGCCTCTGAAGCCTGAAGTTTTAAAAGCCCAAGATATATCCGTATTAGTCAATGTTAATTTTTTATTAGCCTCAATTGGGTACAAATGCCTGCAAACCCTATATACAGTAATACAACAGTACAACAGTACAACACAATAACAAAATAAACAAATCACAACACAATAAAGTAAATAAACATTTCGGTAAACTACATACCCTGACAAATACCTGTCGTGATCCTTTATGCCATTTGTTACAGAAACCAGTTGCCTGTTGTATTTCCACATTGCTATCTGAAGGGAGTATTTTATCACTAATGTTGCTCCATAGCTTTCTCGATGCATTAAGATTGTGCAAGATTGCCTTCAATAAGGTGCAAGTACGTTCTGCAAATCGCACCTCAAAGTGACGAGGGTAAACCAAGCATTTGTTATCAATCTAAGATCAGAAGCAAAATAGATTTATATTAACTGCGATAGTACTGGATTGATATGAGCCAGGTTAATATGACATTGTTATTACAAATCTGAATAAAGAATTATAAGGAGTAGTTATGGAGATATGGTTACAGTATAGTCAGCAGCTCACTAGCTGTCTCTGACTTTTTCCCAGTCATATGCAAGTTCTCTCAGAAATTATGGGAATCATGGTGCTGGTTTGCTAGTGACTACTGCTTCAGAGTTCACTAGTTCAGAATTAATAGTAAATAGTCAGTAATCAACACAGTAGATGCATATTAGAGACTTAGAATAACAATTAACAAATCATATCATATTTTACCTTATGAAGTTCTTTTGTCCGTCTTGCTGATACCCGAAAAAAGGTTGATACTGCTGTCACATCAGCCATCCAATACTTGAGCTCTGGTACACTACTATTCAAGTGCCAGGTCTGAACGATGACAAACACACCAAACAGTTATCAAATTTCTTTTCAGTTTGTCCTTTAGGAGTTGCCACAATCCAGCCTTTCTACCAGTATTGGCAGATTCACCATCTGTTGATATTCCAACCATCTTTGTCATAATTGCTACACTTAATTCACAGGTTTCTTCTGCAACATCACTTTGTTTTGATTCTAAGCTTGCAATACTGGTACAAAGTGCATCTAAAAGGCCTTCAGCACCAGATTTATCACTAGATACAATGCCAACAAAGACAGTTTCAACACTAACTTCATTTTCTTGAACATGTCGAGCTGTTACAAACTTTGAGTCTTGCTGCTGCCGGTCCATGCTGCCATCTATTTGCACAGAATAACAAAGGCTATTATGTAAGGTCTTACACACCTCTCCTCTCACAAGATCTGCTATGACTTCTAACATTTCGGCATATATGATAGGGCTTCGATAATGGCACATTGAGGAAGTAGTATTAAAAGAAATATCAGCTGTGTCCCAACCGTTCTTGTCAAACTTATCCAAAACATTGTTTGCCTATTCACAAGACATTGATCTGGACAGCCAACTTCTTGCACTTAGAGTTTCTACGAGTGAGTCATTGTACACATCAATAGCAAGACGGACAAGAAATATTCTTGTTTCCGTATTTGCTTTGTTTAAAATCCGTGCCCATGGATGAGAATCAGACATTTGAGCCCAAGTTTTTGCATGCTCTTCCAATCTCTCTGCCTCTTGGTGCATGGCAGATTCTAAATGATCAATTATTATTATCAAACGATCTTTACCATCAGCACGAATACCTCTTGCCAAAGGCACTTGACCATTACTCGAAAATCCCCTAATATGTTCTTCGTGAGAGGCACACACTAAACAAGTCACAGATGGTCTTGTTCGATCTCCAAATTTGTCTTTCGAAACAGATAAACATTTGTTCGCTTCCAGCAGCCAATTGAGATTTATTTTTTTGTTTTTGTACCAACCTTCAACTTCGTTCCGTTCATCGCTGGGCGTTTCGGACGTTTCTTCACCTGATGCCAGGTCATCGACAATAGAGAAATTAATGCTATTTTCATCGTCGTCAGCAGCTGTATTTTTAGATCCATCATCTTTTGTTTCCAACACAGCGGGAGCTGAGCATGTCGATGCACTTTCACCTCTGACGAATGACTCATTTGTATTGCGGTGAAAAAGTCAGATAAAGTGGTTTGCCCATGGTTCATAATAGATATGTTCAATTCTCGCAGTCTCTTATTTTTTCTTTTCTGATAACCGCTCAATTCCTTTCGCTTGTTTGTCGCCATATTTTTATAATGTACAAATTTATAAAAATTATCATTTTATATTTAAATAAAAATCGTGAAACATTGATGACATGTGCCCCCAATACGTAATGTCAGCGGAAAAATATGGGTGTACTTTGTGTTCTGCACGTGTATAATTTGAAACAAAACCATTACTGCAATATAAATGCCATCAAGAAATTGAAAGTTTATAGACTAGCGTTTTAATAGCTTGTTTAAGGTAAATAATTTTATATTCTTGATGCTAAAATGTAAAGACTGAAGCTGCGGGGGCCCACACAGTGGTGGGCCAATACCCTGTGAGTGGTGGGCCACTTGAGGGGCCTGGTGGGCCAAATGGCCCACCAGTCTATTACTTAAAATATGCCTTGAATTCCTTGACATGGACGGATTTCAGATTGGAAAGAAATTTTTTCTGTAAGGAGTTGGGAGTCATAAAGGTCGGAGACTCTGAAGCGTCATCGTTCTTTTTTTGATATTGGCTTACACTGGAACGAGCTGAACGAGAAAGACAAGAGAACGTGTAACTTCGTCCAGAAGAATATACATAAACTCCCGTCTGGAGTGCCTTGGGGCACTAAAGCATTTCAAATTTCGGACTTGCAGGCATTTGTAGAGAATTTCTACCGTGAAATACAGATAGATTCAAACTCTACAATTGCCTTCAAAGGCGGACATTACGAAAGGGATTTGCTGGCGAGTCTCCGTATTCCGGCCGTAAATTTGGAATGCTTTAATTGTCCCAAAGCTGAAAAACTATTTGATCAACTGATCTGGTTAGAAACATGCGGGAACCACCTGGAAAGCAACGCTTATCAACACTGCGCGAAAGTCAAAGTCGAGGCCTTTGCGATGTGGCTGCAACAGTAAAGACAAACACACCAATTTTACAAAAAAGAATAAAAACGAAACTCGATTATTAACATATTTACACTGAATCTCAAAGTTTACTTCTCAAATATTCCACATATGCCTTATAATGATCTTCTTCATGACTTCTAAATTGCTCGCCTGTCGCTTTCACAGTATACTTAAAACTAGGGGGCACTGAAAAAAAGACCATAGCCCCAGGTTCAAGTGGGTCATCACAACAATCCTCTTTCCAGTTAGAAAGTTGGTCTAGAATACTCAGCATCTCACTGTTCTCCACACTCATCTTTGATTTAACACACACGGGGTCCCTCCTCAATTAATTCCAATATTCAAACACGTATTCATCCCACTGAAGCTCTAAAACTTTGGTCACCTCAACAAACTTATTCCATACCATGTCTTTTTTGCTAACTCGCTCTATGGCTTCCAAATCATACATCTGCGATCTCTCCCCATACGATAACATAAGACACTCACTCTGACTAAAGCGATTTAGTTTACAACCACAGCACCTCTCTTCGAAAAGCTCATAAACCTCGCAAGAAACAGTTTGTGCAAATATTGTCTCTAACAAATTGCATAGCTTCCGAAATTCCATAGGCGAAACTTCGTCAACATTATTTGACCTTGAAGAACGCATACTTGGTCGGGAAAGAAAACATTCGTTAGCCCTATTCAATTGGTTTGGGCCCATTTGACCAATTACGTAAAAGGTACAGGCATGACGTAACAGATTGTACGCACGCTAAGTACGAACTCCTGGACGCACACTCCTGATGACGTCATACATTCGCTTGAATCACTTCCGTCGCTGGATGGGGTTACCTACTTGAGTTCGGCACACGAGTAGCGAGACGTTTGAAACAAGCCTAACACATCAGAAACGTCATGCCTCGTGGAACTGACACAATTTATTTATTAATTGCGATCCTACATGCGACAACTCGAAATTTAAATTGTTTCACCAACAACCAAATTTTGCATATTCTAAAACTATATTTGCATTGGGAGCTGTTGCTAAATGTATCCGACGAGGCTACTGATATACTAAACTATGTTTATTCCCATCATCCTTTTAGCGCTCATATTGCACATTTGACTATTGTCTCAGTGACTCTCTTTTATTGAAATAGCTGTATAACTAGTTAATACGACGTTAATGCATTACAAAAAAATCAAAAACACAGAAACGTCAAAATGAGGCGAAAAAGTAATTAAATTAATTTTATCCCCATATCCGTTCCGCACATGCTCCGTGGACCGCTCCGTTCCGCATCTGCTCCGTGGATCCGCTTCCACATTTTAACTTAATTGTGACATGTTCACACAATAACAATAACAATAACAAGAAGATTGACCTTTGACTTTATATTCCCAAGATCAAGTAGTGTTTCACGAGTCATTTTCAGCTTTTCGCATGTATTACAGGAACTACGACAAGCGTTCCTTAAGCCTGGTTCACATATATGCCTGCGACGTACCAGCGACGATGCCGATGGTAGCTTTAAAACGTAAATTATGTTATTATAACATTTGTTCGCCGATTGCCTCCAGTGCCACAGTTACATCGGCGGTAGGCCGGGAAAGTTGACTTGAGTTCAACTTTGCCGGTATTTCGGCGGCAAGTAGAGGCATAATGATACAGTCGCAGGCATGCCGCAGGCATATGTGAACCAGGCTTTAGACTGCGAGCGGTCCCTCCTTTCCGCGGGTTTAGATTTCCGGGCACGAGAAAGGAAAGGAGGGACTGTAGACAACACAGTCAAGAAATGAAACCGCGTTGCCCACACAACGCAAAATTCCCATTGGTCGAAATCGATACGCCTGTCAATCAAATCTGATATGTAGTAATTATGCTATAAATAATTTCCAGAGTGAATGTTGATTTTATACAGGGTGTGTCAAAATAAAAGTAATCGAACGTCAGCGCGCTATTGTGTCTGAATTACTGCGTATGAACGAGATTTTTTCATCTTCGGAAAGATCAGGCTTTTAGCTGTTGTATGATATGTTCTTCATGCCAAATGGATAAAAAATAAGCAAGTGCGAGTCTGATAAAAAATGCTAGTCAGAATCGCATATTTTCACCGTTGTAATATGCGATTCTGACTAACATTTTTTATCGGACTCGTACTTGCTTACTTTTTCTTCACTTGGCATGGAAAACATGTCATTCAACAGCTAAAAGCCTGATCTTTTCGAATATGAAAAAAAATGTTCATACCGCCGAGCAATTCAGGTACAATAGCGCGCTGAAGTTCGGCATGTTGTAAAAGACGGACTGGACTGGACCGGGAAAACGCGGACTGAGTCCGTGTTTTACAAATCGCGGACTGAATTTGTAAAACACGGACTGGACTGGACCGAGAAAACACGGACTGAGTCCGTGTTTTACAAATCGCGAACTAAGATTTGTAAAACGCGGACTGAGTCCGTGTTTTACAAACCGCGGGCTGCAATTTGTAAAAGGCGGACTCATTTCCTGACAAACATCGAAGTGACTCAGTCGTAAAGGTTTTGGCGGGAATTGCACTCAGTCGTGAAAGTTTTGGCGGGAATTGCAGATAATAGGTCGGTCAAGGAATAGTCATATCCTGGACCTAAGGTTGGTAGAAATTACTATTATTTATTTATTGTTTTGAATAAACTGATGAACAGCGTTCAATCTTAGGAGCACGCTCTATCGTGTGGGACTTTGTGCCACTATTGTCGAGGAAACTCGTGCGTATAATATCAAATGTGGCCGTTTCATGTAAATATAGTTGTATGCCGACTGCATAGATATAGCTAGGGGCGATAACCCCCCCCCCCCAATACGAATCATGTGGATTGGCAGGGCAATCAAAGATTTTAAATGATAGAATGTAGAGTTAAGTAATTTACAGGGCTTTCAGAGGGAATTTATAGAATTTATATTCGGGTCCAAAAATAAGGGTTTAAGCCATGTTTTAACAGGAATTGGCAGACACCCCCGAATTAAAAGGGGCTAGTTTCGCCCCTGGGTCAGTATAGCTCTTATAGCAGATACCATTTAGTATTATTCATAATTAGCCTTAAACTGATAGAGTTAATTTGTTTATTTTGTGTTCGTGGCGAAGAGGGTGTATTACACCCGTTTTCAAAATTACGCGACCAAGGACGAAAATGCTAGAGTTGACATGTCAGTTTTATGTCATTCGGTCACGAAGTTTAAACTTTGAGTTTTCCCGTTCCTTGTCGATGTATATGCTTATTATGCTTTATATAAATAGGCTTACAATGATTTTCAAGATATTTTAGTGCGAATTATTGCAAAATTTAAGCACAAACAAAATCATATAAACATCACCGTTATAGTCTACCGCGCGTGTTTTAACTGACAGCTAAATTCCAGGATAACTTGTTAGTTTTCAAACTTTAAAAGTTATTCACGACATATATATTTCTGTTGTGATGGTTTGTATTGTGCTTTAGTTTGTATATCTAAGTTATCTAACTCATTTTTGGTATTAAATACGGTTTAAAATGTCTTTTGACAGTTTGTTTACGTTTGCTATTTTTAGCAGTTTTCGTGCATAAAAACAAGGGGTCCATGGACCCACGGTTAATAGACTAAGATGGTTAGGCTAGCCCATGACGTCACAAAACATGTCATTGTTCTCAGTTTATTTACGTCACGTGACCATGAAGCGGTATGCTTCGTGTAAACATTGTATATTTTTCTATTGGAGCGGATCAAATTTCGAGATAAAATATCATATTTCGCTTTGTTTCACAAAGTAAAATCCAAAGAATATGTACGTGTGGTTCGTATTAAGTACGTTGAGAAGCAAACACTGTTATTTGAAACATGGGTTCGAAAAAAATGAGAAATTAAAAGCCGAGAATAAAGCAGATATGGAATGGTCAAAATACCCACACTTTTGGAGAGTAATTCAAAGAGAATTAAAATGTTATAAATGTTCACGTATCTGTCATCAAAACGGAACGAAAAGAAGCTGTA